TGCACAATTAAGGGCGTGCGGCCTGTTGGCCAAATAAATGGCAACTGTTCACTTGGTCGAGGATCAGGAAAATGAAATCAAATGAATATGCTTATGTTTATGTATATGGGATGCGGCCGGCTTATTGTTTCGTCCCCTAATGGCCGCGACCCGTGAGATTTTTATCAATCAGGACTCATAACTACACGAATTGTAGTCAGGCGTAAAATTAAGGGCAAACAACTCCGAAATCAAAGTGGTTGAATACCTCACGTCACGTGCGCGTACTCCAAATGTCAGGGATATAACTGCCAATGTTTCCAATTTTTCACTGAGATAAAATTCAACCAAAAATTTAATCAAATTTATTGTAAGTTTTAATCAAGAACTAAAATAAGTACAATATCTGGAAAACTACTAAGAATATTGATTAATAGGTAGGTAAAATAAAGTAAAGTAGAAGTTAATTAACAAGTAAAACGTACAGCTTAACTCCATATTATTATAACTTTCCAAAATGTTATATTAGTCAAAATAGTTTTCCTCACAATAATAAAAAGAAATGAATTGAGGGGGTAAAAAAAGGTTTTAGGTTAATAGTTTAGTTTTATAAACTGTTTTTTTTTTGGTTTTATATAAACAATATTTTAGTATTTTACTTTTAAGGTTGATTAAGATTATTTTGAATCTAAACAAATAACAATGATATTATTAATGACTAAAACGGTTCTCATTTTTTTCAGTGCAACAGGAGTAAGTAAATAGTTGATACAAGGTATTTACTCACTTTATGGTTTCTGACAGGCCGTGATTCCTGCTGCTCGCTGCCTCACATGCAAATAGTCACATGTAACTTCACCTCCATTAAAACGAGCCCCGATCCGGATGCTAGTTTCACCCCTTTCCAGGACCTCGTCCTCGTCCTCGTCCTCGTACCCGTCCTTGTCCTCGGGCCCGTTAATAAAGTTGCTCAAGTGTAGTCGAGTGGCATATGTTCGGTCGGGGAAGTTGGCAAGGGTTTTTGGGCGAAGCTTGAGAGTGCGTGCGTGTCTGGCTTTTGTTACGTCACACAGGATTAGGCATAATGAAGTGTTTTAATGCGTTTAGGCACACAAACACAGGAACACACGGGGAATGGCTGAAGTAGCTGGGAGTGTAATCAAATTGTAAACATTTTACGGTTTGATATACTTCAATTATAATAACCGATTTTTATGGGAGTGGTGAAAACTTTCATTTGTATGGAGTAGCAATACTAATGGGAATATATTTCAAAAATCCTCTTTGAACATTGTTGGCATGAAATAAACCGTTTATATTATAAGTATATAATACAAATAAAAAAAACAAGCATGTATCACATAAACCGATTTTAGATATAATAATGTAAATGTAATTAATAATGTAATTAATGTTTTAAATTGGAACTGAACACCTAATTTAAGTTCTATCATTTCAGATAATAATATTTCGTTCTCTGCATTCCGAATTTCCTGTTGTTTTCCTGGCTGCTTTTCTTTCATTTTTTACACCTAATGCATTTGAAATTTGATTTCGTTTATTTTCGGACACACTCGTTTTGAATTGTGGAATCAGAGAGTGAGCCTCAGCGAAGGGAGTGGGGTGAAGGGAAAAACCATTAAAGAAATTACATGTTGCTGCCGGCAGCTCCTGTCCGCAGGATGGATGGATGGATGAGTGGCGAGGGTGTTGGGATCGAAGCAGAAGGATGTGGCTCGGGAACGCAGATGGGCAGATGGGGTAAATGCAATCGCATTGATGTTTAAAAAGCGACGACTATGGCGCTTAAATGTCTGGAAATGGGCGTTAACATACGGTCGCTTATGTGCGATGGCGACGGCGGGGGCGTGGCTGGGCAGGCGCCCGTTTTGTGGGCTAAAAACATCAAAGTGATTGAATTGTTGCGATTGCTTTGAAAATCAAGAAAAGCCTCCGGGGGTGGGGTGTTTATCTTCTGTCAGGGGGTCACACATACCACTTGTTCATGTAAATCAAATTAAAATTGCAAACATTTGGGATTGCTAATGGGGAAAATGAGTTGATCACAGTTGCATCATTTAAAACCTACATTTTATTTATGTAATAATTGTTAAATAACAAATTTTTTTAATCATAATTACATTTTCCATTCATACGCTAAGTGTAATTTTATTTTTCCAATTTCCCCTGACTTGGATGGCAAATGCATTTTAGCTGTTTTCCATTGCCGCATCGATTGCGCATAATTCTCCATTGCAATAAATACAAATTAATTGGGTCGAGAAGCTCCATTGGCTCCCAATGCAGACCACTTTCTGTTGTGCTTCGCGTTTGTTTACCAACAATTGCCATTAAAATTTAAACCACAGCAATTATTATTAATGGTTCCAGCCAGATCTCTTTATAAATGTATTCAAATTGTTGCAATAACAATAATAAGAGAGTGAAATTCTGTAGGCAGCCATTGCAGCTATAATGACAGAAATCGATGGCAGTAATTTTAACGCCATTTTAATGTATTTCTCTGTGGTTATCTGGGAATGATTGCTATATAATTGAGCTTCCTGAAATGAGAGGACTAGATGGGTTTAGTTGATTCCGAAAAGCTGTGGCTAAAAACAAATAAGTCGTAATATTTAAGAGCTGCAATTAACTAAATAACACAATAAATACGATTTATATAAGCATTTTTAAGAAAAGGGGCAGGTGTGAAGATGTGTCTCCGGAGGAATCCTCGTTCTCACGCCCGTAACTCAAAGCCTTTGTGTTTTCTTTCCCGCTTGCACACTTTCTTAATTAACTGGCGAACATCTCGAATTTCTAAACACAAAAGTGTTAAAAAAGAACATCAGGACAGCGAATTGCGAGGCGATGAAGATGGCGAGGGGTATGGAGAAGATACGACTGATACGAATCACATTAGCTAGATTTGCATCAGGATTACGCGTTGCCCCGAACAGGAGCCCTCGGCACCTCGACACATCCTAATCCTCGGCATTGTGACAATTGTCACAAATCAAGATCCTCCGGATCTGGGCCAGCAGTACTCGAGATGACAACAAAGACCTAAGCAGATTTGTGCTAATATGACGGCATCTGTTTGACAAAGAAAGCGCGAGGGAGAGATGGGCCCTAAGGAAATGAAAGGAGACGTTGAGAGGCGAAGTGCGTGTGAATGTCGGCAACGCCCTCAGAGAATCCTCCGAATCTTCTCGTCCTGGAGATCCTGCGAGTACTGCCTCAAGTGCTCAAGTGTTTGTTTAAATTATGCAAATCTGCGCAAATTCTGCGGGCGGGCCAGGGCACGAATAGTGATTCGAATCCCGATCCGAAATGGTCTGGTCCCTTGCAGACAAAGCGACGTGCACTTTTAATTGGTAAAAGTAGTCCAACTGTCTGGGAATTAGTGCAGGACCATGGATTTGCTAAGCGTGCGCGGGGTGTTCCTGGAAATCCGTGGTATACACACCATTTTCGGGACCCCTCAGCAAGCTGTCCGTAATTACTTAGCACTGCCTTTTAATGCAACCCACGATCCCAGCGATGGGGCCCCAACTCATAAACACATTAACGACCAGGTGCACTCGAAAAAATCTTGATAACTAAAACTATGCAATTGGACTACATCATTTTAGGTGTAAGAAAAAAACTTTAAAATTTAAAATAACATATTGTTTTTATGTAAATAAAAAAATAAAAAATTATATAATCTTTATTATCATTTAATTCCAACCAGTTATTCGCAGAAAATAACCAAAAACCCGCTTTACCGAGCGATGACGAATTTCAGCCAATATGTATTCGATATTGCTGTGATTGATTTTAATTTTAATTTATTATTATTTCCTGTGTGCTTCGAGAAGAGAAAAAGGCGTGTGGAAGGGGGCGACTGGGGCGGGTGCCACTTGGAGCGCGTAATTTGCGCCAAATTACAGATGAAAAGCAGCGAAAATTGTAAAAGTCGGGTGAGCGAGGTGGTAAGTTGGGAAGTACCACCCCCGACGTAATTGCAATCATGGGAATTGACTAATTGCGGGAAAGCAGAAGTCGAGCGCCATTGGAGGACCATCAGCACAGAAGAGCTGGGTAAATGCCACTCGAGATCAGGAGTGGAATGGATATGGATACTGAATTGTGTTTGAAAATATAAATGAAAACAGAGAACTAGCTGTGTGGGCGTGCCGTCATCCGTCAGATGTTTTGCCAACTTCAAGCCGAATATGCAAAAATATTTAGCGCGCATATATCTGCCTTTATTGTTCTGTTCCCTTTTCGAACGGAGCGGCATCTATCTGGATACAAAAGTATCTAGATCGGGCATTGTAGCCGGCGAAAGACAAAACCAGAACCAAACCCTCCTCGAGGGAGAGAATCCAAAGCCAGGGGATCTGAGCCGCTTTCGGGCATTTAGTGGATTACCGAGCGGCGAACAAAACGCATGTAGTGCAAATAGCTGGACGCGTAAGCAGCTCATTACCATTGTGCGGCGTGTGCAGTGCGTGGTAAATATTTTGCTACACTTTCCATTATCCATGCCCGGTCTTATTCCACCGTGGACAATGGACAAAGCAGGACAACAAGATGGACCGGAGAAAGTACGTCTTCTAAGGGATATGGGGCGGAGGTTTTTAATAAAATCAGAGCAACACATGTGAGAAGGGCGGGCGTAATCATCAAAAACGTATTGATCTCTTCTCGTCACAGCAAGAAATTCGTGTTTTTCGGAAAGGAAAATAGTTACCCGACTGCCTAAAGATTCTAAAATATGTATGTATACAATAAAATTAAAGATAGTATTGACAATAAATTCTCGACAATAATAATGTTATTTATATCTTACAATACATATTAAAAACATATGTAATATTAGGAGATAAAAAAAGTTGTTTATCTAGATTTTATTAAAATAATTTGGTTTACGATTTAAAAATATTCAACTGAAAGTCGCGCCACATAATTATCGATAGGTCGATTGTTGGGTTGCCCCATCATTATGTATTTTATGCGTTTTACAGCACTGGATACACACAGCTGTCAGTTTTGTTTTTACTTTAAAAAAAGTTCGGCCGGCATCTCGACGAATACCGACTTGTAATAATATAAACATATATCCTTATTAATACGTGATAAGTTAGAATCCAAGTATCAAGATGTCTTTCGTGGGACGCACACTGATTCGTAACGTAAGTTGGCAACAAAACATGCCACAACGATTACGTAATTGGTGGACCCGCTTTCCAATCTGATTTATTATGTATTGCAGGTGCCGCTGTTTGGCAGGGCCATTCTGAGTCAGCAGAAACAGATTGCAGCCCGTCTGCTCCATCAGAGTGAGTTAATTTGAACCCTTAAGGAGGATGCATTGGCCAACAGCAATGTCTGTATCGCCTACTCAATACCCGTGTATCAGGGTGTATCAGGGTTAGCAATAAGATAGGTCATAATTAATGCGGTCGTATTTTGATAACTCATAACTCACAAGACTAGCCTCTTAAAGCAGTACGGTTTTAAGATAATTTTTCTGATATTGAGATGATCGTGAAATCTAGAGCTCAAGTTCCTATGTTGTGATATTAAAACTTTACTAGCTTTGTCTTTTCTTAAACATTCCAAAATTAATTTGAGATTACTTATACTAATCCTGAACATGTCCTACCAAAGTTAATAGAGAAAAGATAATTAATTCTGTAACACAAGGAATGTACGAGGAAGTTAGTAGCTCGAACTATAGAAATATTATAACTAGTCAATTACATTTAATAAAAGTGCTATATATTGGTAGATCTGCTTAATTTAATTCTTGCTTTATTTTATTATTCTTTTCCAGCCGCATCCCTTGCCGCAGTCCGTGTCCAGCAACCCGCTCCCGATTTCAAGGGTCTTGCGGTGGTGGGCAACAGCTTTCAGGAAGTGAAGCTGGAGGACTACAGGGGCAAGTACCTGGTGCTGTTCTTTTACCCACTGGATTTGTGAGTAGATTGGTTTTTACCATTGTTAGTATTCTCTAACATTTTTTGCCATTTCATCACAGCACATTCGTTTGCCCCACGGAAATCGTTGCATTTAGCGAGCGCATCAAGGAATTCCACGACATCAATGCCGAGGTTTTGGGCGTGTCCGTGGACTCTCATTTTAGCCACTTAACTTGGTGCAATGTAGACCGCAAGAATGGAGGAGTGGGCCAGCTGAGCTACCCGCTTCTCTCTGATTTGACAAAGAAGATCTCCGCCGACTATGATGTCCTGCTGGACAAGGAGGGCATCTCGTTGCGCGGCACCTTTATCATCGATCCCAACGGCATACTGCGCCAGTACTCCATCAATGACCTGCCCGTGGGCAGATCCGTCGACGAGGTGCTGCGCCTAATCAAGGCCTTCCAATTCGTCGAGCAGCACGGAGAAGTGTGCCCGGCCAACTGGAACCCCAAGTCGAACCCGGCCACCATCAAACCCGATGTGGAGGAGTCAAAGAAATACTTCAGCAAGCACGGCTAGGAAATCTTTTAATCATTTATAACACACCTAAAACATTCACTACACAGAAAAGACTCGAAGAATAAAAGAGAAAAGGTTCGAAAATTATTGTCTTATAGGTTTAATTTTGAAAATACAGGTGAATGGAATATTTTCTTTAATATTTCCTAACACCTGACCAAGGTCTTGATCGCATAAATTATAAAAATTCTAAAGTAGTAGTACATACCTCTAAAGACTTGTGATTTGGTTCTCTAAAAAACTGCATTCAAATTTTTCGTTTTATCGTTGATCAAATTTTGGACCCATTTTCATGTCAGTTAAATTCAAATTTCCGATGTCTTAAAAAGAGGTTACCCCCATTTGGACTTCTATAGTCCATAACTTCACCAAATTTAATCCGATTTCAATTTGGCATACCTCTAAAGACTTGTGATTTGGTTCTCTAAAAAACTGCATTCAAATTTTTCGTTTTATCGTTGATCAAATTTTGGACCCATTTTCATGTCAGTTAAATTCAAATTTCCGATGTCTTGAAAAGAGGTTACCCCCATTTGGACTTCTATAGTCCATAACTTCACCAAATTTAATCCGATTTCAATTTGGCATGCCTCTAAAGACTTGTGATTTGGTTCTCTAAAAAACTGCAATTTGGCATACCTCTAAAGACTTGTGATTTGGTTCTCTAAAAAACTGCATTCAAATTTTTCGTTTTATCGTTGATCAAATTTTGGACCCATTTTCATGTCAGTTAAATTCAAATTTCCGATGTATTGAAAAGAGGTTACCCCCATTTGGACTTCTATAGTCCATAACTTCACCAAATTTAATCCGATTTCAATTTGGCATACCTCTAAAGACTTGTGATTTGGTTCTCTAAAAAACTGCATTCAAATTTTTCGTTTTATCGTTTATCAAATTTTGGACCCATTTTCATGTCAGTTATTTACAAATTTCCGATGTCTTGAAAAGAGGTTACCCCCATTTGGACTTCTAGAGTCCATAACTTCACCAAATTTAATCCGATTTCAATTTGGCATACCTCTAAAGACTTGTGATTTGGTTCTCTAAAAAACTGCATTCAAATTTTTCGTTTTATCGTTGATCAAATTTTGGACCCATTTTCATGTCAGTTATTTACAAATTTCCGATGTCTTGAAAAGAGGTTACCCCCATTTGGACTTCTAGAGTCCATAACTTCACCAAATTTAATCCGATTTCAATTTGGCATACCTCTAAAGTCTTGTGATTTCGTTCTCTAAAAAACTGCATTCAAATTATTCGTTTTATCGTTGATCAAATTTTGGACCCATTTTCATGTCAGTTATTTACAAATTTCCGATGTCTTGAAAAGAGGTTACCCCATTTGGACTTCTAGAGTCCATAGCTTCACCAAATTTAATCCGATTTCAATTTGACATACCTCTAAAGACTTGTGATTTGGTTCTCTAAAAAACTGCATTCAAATTTTTCGTTTTATCGTTGATCAAATTTTGGACCCATTTTCATGTCAGTTATTTACAAATTTCCGATTTCTTGAAAAGAGGTTACCCCCATTTGGACTTCTAGAGTCCATAACTTCACCAAATTTAATCCGATTTCAATTTGACATACCTCTAAAGACTTGTGATTTGGTTCTCTAAAAAACTGCATTCAAATTTTTCGTTTTATCGTTGATCAAATTTTGGACCCATTTTCATGTCAGTTATTTACAAATTTCCGATGTCTTGAAAAGAGGTTACCCCCATTTGGACTTCTATAGTCCATAACTTCACCAAATTTAATCCGATTTCAATTTGGCATACCTCTAAAGTCTGGTGATTTGGTTCTCTAAAAAACTGCATTCAAATTTGTCGTTTTATCGTTGATCAAATTTTGGACCCATTTTCATGTCAGTTATTTACAAATTTCCGATTTCTTGAAAAGAGGTTACCCCCATTTGGACTTCTATAGTCCATAACTTCACCAAATTTAATCCGATTTCAATTTGGCATACCTCTAAAGACTTGTGATTTTGTTCTCTAAAAAACTGCATTCAAATTTTTCGTTTTATCGTTGATCAAATTTTGGACCCATTTTCATGTCAGTTATTTACAAATTTCCGATGTCTTGAAAAGAGGTTACCCCCATTTGGACTTCTAGAGTCCATAACTTCACCAAATTTAATCCGATTTCAATTTGACATACCTCGAAAGACTTGTGATTTGGTTCTCTAAAAAACTGCATTCAAATTTTTCGTTTTATCGTTGATCAAATTTTGGACCCATTTTCATGTCAGTTATTTACAAATTTCCGATGTCTTGAAAAGAGGTTACGCCCATTTGGACTTCTATATTCCATAACTTCACCAAATTTAATCCGATTTCAATTTGGCATACCTCTAAAGACTTGTGATTTGGTTCTCTAAAAAACTGCATTCAAATTTTTCGTTTTATCGTTGATCAAATTTTGGACCCATTTTCATGTCAGTTACTTACAAATTTCCGATGTCTTGAAAAGAGGTTACCCCCATTTGGACTTCTAGAGTCCATAACTTCACCAAATTTAATCCGATTTCAATTTAGCATACCTCTAAAGACTTGTGATTTGGTTCTCTAAAAAACTGCATTCAAATTTTTCGTTTTATCGTTGATCAAATTTTGGACCCATTTTCATGTCAGTTATTTACAAATTTCCGATGTCTTGAAAAGAGGTTACCCCCATTTGGACTTCTAGAGTCCATAACTTCACCAAATTTAATCCGATTTCAATTTAGCATACCTCTAAAGACTTGTGATTTGGTTCTCTAAAAAACTGCATTCAAATTTTTCGTTTTATCGTTGATCAAATTTTGGACCCATTTTCATGTCAGTTATTTACAAATTTCCGATGTCTTGAAAAGAGGTTACGCCCATTTGGACTTCTATATTCCATAACTTCACCAAATTTAATCCGATTTCAATTTGGCATACCTCTAAAGACTTGTGATTTGGTTCTCTAAAAAACTGCATTCAAATTTTTCGTTTTATCGTTGATCAAATTTTGGACCCATTTTCATGTCAGTTACTTACAAATTTCCGATGTCTTGAAAAGAGGTTACCCCCATTTGGACTTCTAGAGTCCATAACTTCACCAAATTTAATCCGATTTCAATTTGGCATACCTCTAAAGACTTGTGATTTGGTTCTCTAAAAAACTGCATTCAAATTTTTCGTTTTATCGTTGATCAAATTTTGGACCCATTTTCATGTCAGTTATTTACAAATTTCCGATGTCTTGAAAAGAGGTTACCCCCATTTGGACTTCTAGAGTCCATAACTTCACCAAATTTAATCCGATTTCAATTTGGCATACCTCTAAAGACTTGTGATTTGGTTCTCTAAAAAACTGCATTCAAATTTTTCGTTTTATCGTTTATCAAATTTTGGACCCATTTTCATGTCAGTTATTTACAAATTTCCGATGTCTTGAAAAGAGGTTAGCCCCATTTGGACTTCTAGAGTCCATAACTTCACCAAATTTAATCCGATTTCAATTTGGCATACCTCTAAAGACTTGTGATTTTGTTCTCTAAAAAACTGCATTCAAATTTTTCGTTTTATCGTTGATCAAATTTTGGACCCATTTTCATGTCAGTTATTTACAAATTTCCGATGTCTTGAAAAGAGGTTACCCCCATTTGGACTTCTAGAGTCCATAACTTCACCAAATTTAATCCGATTTCAATTTGACATACCTCGAAAGACTTGTGATTTGGTTCTCTAAAAAACTGCATTCAAATTTTTCGTTTTATCGTTGATCAAATTTTGGACCCATTTTCATGTCAGTTATTTACAAATTTCCGATGTCTTGAAAAGAGGTTACTTCTAGAGTCCATAACTTCACCAAATTTAATCCGATTTCAATTTGGCATACCTCTAAAGACTTGTGATTTTGTTCTCTAAAAAACTGCATTCAAATTTTTCGTTTTATCGTTGATCAAATTTTGGACCCATTTTCATGTCAGTTATTTACAAATTTCCGATGTCTTGAAAAGAGGTTACCCCCATTTGGACTTCTAGAGTCCATAACTTCACCAAATTTAATCCGATTTCAATTTGGCATACCTCTAAAGACTTGTGATTTGGTTCTCTAAAAAACTGCATTCAAATTTTTCGTTTTATCGTTGATCAAATTTTGGACCCATTTTCATGTCAGTTATTTACAAATTTCCGATGTCTTGAAAAGAGGTTACTTCTAGAGTCCATAACTTCACCAAATTTAATCCGATTTCAATTTGGCATACCTCTAAAGACTTGTGATTTGGTTCTCTAAAAACTGCATTCAAATTTTTCGTTTTATCGTTGATCAAATTTTGGACCCATTTTCATGCCAGTTATTTACAAATTTCCGATGTCTTGAAAAGAGGTTACTTCTAGAGTCCATAACTTCACCAAATTTAATCCGATTTCAATTTGACATACCTCTAAAGACTTGTGATTTGGTTCTCTAAAAAACTGCATTCAAATTTTTCGTTTTACCGTTGATCAAATTTTGGACCCATTTTCATGTCAGTTATTTACAAATTTCCGATGTCTTGAAAAGAGGTTACGCCCATTTGGACTTCTATATTCCATAACTTCACCAAATTTAATCCGATTTCAATTTGGCATACCTCTAAAGACTTGTGATTTGGTTCTCTAAAAAACTGCATTCAAATTTTTCGTTTTATCGTTGATCAAATTTTGGACCCATTTTCATGTCAGTTATTTACAAATTTCCGATGTCTTGAAAAGAGGTTACCCCCATTTGGACTTCTAGAGTCCATAACTTCACCAAATTTAATCCGATTTCAATTTGGCATACCTCTAAAGACTTGTGATTTGGTTCTCTAAAAAACTGCATTCAAATTTTTCGTTTTATCGTTGATCAAATTTTGGACCCATTTTCATGTCAGTTATTTACAAATTTCCGATGTCTTGAAAAGAGGTTACCCCCATTTGGACTTCTATATGCCATAACTTCACCAAATTTAATCCGATTTCAATTTGGCATACCTCTAAAGACTTGTGATTTGGTTCTCTAAAAAACTGCATTCAAATTTTTCGTTTTATCGTTGATCAAATTTTGGACCCATTTTCATGTCA